GATTTAGGTAACTGCTTTTTTCTTCGATTATTAGAATTTTGTGCAAATAACATATTATAAAATTTAAAGAATCGGAAAAATAAAAATAATGAGTATCTATACTCGTGTTAGTCGTGTGTACTTTATAATAGTGATCCGTGTATATTAATTTATATTTCGATATTTAATCAATATGAAATTTATCCTTTAACATTTTCGAGTTACTATAAATCTACATGGTTTATGTTATTTTTTAAATTTAATTTAGTTTTATTAAAACGGATATCATTATTGGCTCTCTTTTTTTTCTTCGTAGAAACGCGTTAGGCTCGACCTATTTGATCATTTATGAGTTGTTCGTGAGAGTACTCATTTTTCAATTTGTTGGCGTTGATTCATGGTCGATTCAATCAACATTAGATTAAAATACGAGATTAGTATATTATTAATTGAATTGTCTGGTGTAATAGAACTATTAGACTATTAACGGATATAGATCAAAATGAAAACATCTTTTAAACAAAAACATAAAGAATATATTTTGTCCAAATTTAAAAGTCAACCGAAGAATGGAAAAGATTCCTCTCTCAAGTGTTACAGGTCCCAGAAGTGCATAACAAATACTGTCAAAGTCTAATACCGCAGAGGAAATTAAATGAAGTTAGAAAAATGGTTGTTTGATAATTAAATAATTAATATCTAAGCTGATTTTTTATTTATTTATTTATTGTAAAAGTAATAGTTAATTATTTGTTTTTTTCAATGTAATGAGTAGTTCTTATGATATATCATTAGGGTGGTAGTTACAACCAACTGAACACGCCCCCATTTGAATTATTGTTATTCCTAAAGTGCAAGGTTCACACCTAACGATTCCTTAAGAGCATCGTTAAAAATTATTTGATTTATGGAAACAATTGAACCACAAACTATATAGTTTTTGGATGATATCAAATGAGATGAACGATTTGATTCAATTTTAGTACAATTTGACATTTAATCAATTTGAAAGAGCTGAGCACTCGACTAACTTCATTAGTCCGTTGAGTGCTCGACTAACTTCGTTAATTTGTCGAGTTAGTCGTGTTATTATTTATCAAGCTTTGATAAGAATGCACAAATATAGCTACGCAGTCCACACATTTACTGGTACTATTAGGGCCAATCAACGTATTAGATCATTTACTGGTGGACGAGAAAACAAGTTAAGTCCATTTTATTCACGAGATTATTGACGCTTAACCTTGTTTCAAGGTAATTTGAAGTGGTTGAAAATTGTGTGCACATTCGAGCTCTAGCAAATAATTAATTGACAAGATTTTCAAGGGATCAAATGATTTTGATCGTGATTCGGAGGGTTTAGAGGACTCCATTAAAGATGAATTTTCTATGCCTTTGGTGAAATCCCCATGTTGCAATTTTGGTAGGGTCTTGAAAAGAATATCTAAAATAAGTTCTTGAATTGTTTATTCTTTAGATGGTATACTCAAAAGAGGTCTCGTTTAGAAAAAATGATCCGATCTTGGTAGAAAAACTTAGAAGTGGGAAGGACTATAGAATAGAATGGCAAAGAAGGATTTCTGTAGCTCGTGTTGTTAATGTGTGGCTTTAGTTTGAAAGTCATCATGTTAATTTTTAATTCTTTTTCTTATTTTGCGCAGGAAAGATGTATCTGTAGCGATGACTCCTTGAGCAAGAAATGACTGAGGTGGTGGAGCAAAAGGGTAAAATGTAGACAACAACCGGGAGCATTCGCGATGAACAAATTATATTGCTTGATTCAAGAAACTTTGTAGGCGATGCAAACTCTCATATAATTGCTATTGACATTATTCACTTCTTGTCGGTGAAGAAACTGAAGAGAGATCAAGCAAAAAGGAAGAAGTCATACATTGACGAAAGACTTCGAAATAATGAAGAATGAAACAATTCATGTACTGATATTTAGTTCTTATTGTTAAAACAAGAAAAGTATAGAGAGAAACGAGAGAGGTAAAGAACATTAGGATATTCTGGAGTGTGTATAAACTGTACAAGATACTGCCCTTTTATAGGAGCAGGTGACTACAAAAGGCAACAATATCAACTAATCAAGGCTAATTAGTCAAAATATCAATAATTTCCATATTAGTAAGATATTCGTATGTTAGGAATATATTACTAATAAACTAATAGATCATATGTCGACAACCCCTCAAACTTAAGATTGAAGCAAAGATGCTAACTTGAGTTTGTAAACAAAATCACGATAACGTCCAAGAGCATGAGCCTTTGTGAAGAGGCGACGCAAGCTAATCAGTAGAAGTAACATAATATTATCGAAGAGTACCTCGCCTAATATGAGAACGAATGAAATGACAATTTATCTCAATATGTTTCGTACGCTCATGGAAAACATCATTGTGGACAATCTGAATGTCACAAGTATTGTCACAATGATTATAAGAAATGCTAGTAAAGGAAACACCCATATCCTGTAATATCCATCGAAGCCAAAAACGTTTAGAGATAGTATCAGCCAATGCACAATATTCAACTTTCCATACTAGAGCGAAAGACAAGTGTTTGCTTATCACTTTTTCAAGAAATAAGAGATGTGTCGAGCAAGAAGCAATATTCAATAGTGAAGCGACAATCATTAGGATCACCTATCCAATCAGTGTTAGAATGCACCTAAAAGTCCAACAATGCGTGGGCAAAAAAATGGATCCCATGAAACAAAGTCCCCTTAATGCACCAAATAATCTGAAGAATAGTAACATAGTAAATAGGGAGAGGATAATGTATAAACTAACTTCCCAAGGCGACTGCATAAAAAATGTCGGGACAGGTCACGGTCAAGCAAATGAGACTACCAACAAATTGTCAATAGAGAGTGGCATCATCTAAAAGTGTTCTGTTGTTAGGAAGAAGCTTGACGTTTGTCTTCAAAAGATAATCCACAATCTTACTATCAATCAACCCAACACAAGACAGAGCTCAGATGCATACTTAGTTTCGGAAAGATAATATTCATTTGAGCAGGATGACACCTTAAGACCCAAGAAATAATTAAGAGAACCCATATTCTTCACGTCAAACCGTTGACTAAGAAATTCACTTAACCTATATCTGAAAGATCATCACCCATAATAGCCATGTCATTAACATGTAGAAGAGAAGGACAATACCAGCTTTAGATTGACAGAAGAATTTGGGAGAATCATATGCACTAGGAATGAAGCTTTACTGAGCCCATACTAAACCAAACTTGGAAAACCAAGCTTGAGGAGACTGCTTGAGACCTTAAAGAGCCTTTCGAAGGCAACAAACGTTCGGATGTAGGTGCTCGAATACTGGAGGATGTATGAGATAAACTTTTTCATCTAGATCACCATTAAGAAATGCATTCTTCACGTCCATTTGAAGCATATTCCATTGTTGAATAGCTACAATTGTAAGGAAAGATTTAAAAGAAGTAAGCCATGTAAGTGTAAAAGTCTCATTGTAATCAATACCATAGTCCTAAGTCAATCCCAGCGCTACAAGATGAGCTTTATATCGTTCAACATACCCATAAGCTTGTGTCTTAATCTCGTATGCCCATTGCATTCTACTATAGAATTACATGTAAGTTTCGAGGAGGGCCTAAAGTTTATCAAACATAGCTTTTTGCCAAAAAGGTCAGAACTAGTCTCGCGACAATTGCGAGGATTATGAAGAGTAGCAATAGCAGAAAAATAATGAGAATCACTAAGATGTGCCAGAGGTGTTACTATATTTGAGTGATGAATTTTTGGATCGATTAAGGACTCGAAGGTGATGATAGGATCAGACAATGGCTCATATTCAAGAGGAATAGGCGATGAGAGGTTACTAAATGAGCTTTAAACATCTATCTTAACATCTAATGAAAAATTTATATTGGGGTCTGTTGGGTTTTGATACATAATAAATTCGGGCAATTATTTAAAATAGTTGACGGATAATTTATCGACACAAACAAATTTATCAACAAACAAATTTATTTTGAAATTACTTATTTCTATCAACAATGATTTTTAAAGTACTTTTTCTAGTAAAAATTACTTTTAAACACAACAAACGCGACTCTAATAAAATTACGTATAAATACGATCTTAATTATAAGTCGTCAAGGGTGCCAACTACGAGACACATATATGACAGAATGATTTTGAACTTAACCCCTTTGTTAAACCTAATGTATGAAAATGCCATGCAAATAATGTCTTGATTATTAAACATTGAACTAATTTTCAATAAATTATGAATTTCAAATAAATTAATCAAATATTGACCAGATAAAAGTCATTGGCCGTCCGTTGAAAGTTCCATGTTGTCTTTTAATACGTGAACTATTCTCATGCATGACAAAAAAGGGCACATTCCAAACAACATGTAGCTATGCTTCGAGAAATCATATGTTTCAATAGATTAAGAAAGGAAAAAAGAAAAAGAAAAAGATGAACAATTATTTAATTGAGACGAATTCGCTTCTTATTTTATGTACTTTTTGGCTCATCTTTATGTCCAAACGTTTCTTCTAATTTTGACATATGAAATCCAATTTTGACTCAAATTCGGCAAGATACAATGTTCCTGTCTTAGATATCATCAAATATTGTCATCACCATTCTTATATATATACATAAAATCCAGTATTATCAATATTGTTATTGTCGTCATCATTCTTATATATGCAAACAAAGTCTTTTCATCCTCGAGCACTACAATTTTTTGACAATGCAAAAATTAAACGTGTCCTAATCTTATAGAAATTATCACTACACTCTTTAGAGAACACTATATATTTTCATTATATAAATCTAAACGTATTTAAGCATATTAATGTAATTTTAAAAGGATTCTTATTTCTACATTTAAGATGTTATATACATTTATGTCATCTAATTCCCACCTAAAATGCAATAATCATCATTCCATACAGCGTTATTCTTTATAAATCCTGAAAGAGAAACGTTTAAAGGATAACAAAATTTTACAATGGCCAATCACCAAGTGGAGGTAGTCATGGTGCCACTGCCCGCGCAGGGCCACCTCAACCAACTCCTCCACCTCTCCCGCCTCATCTCCGCCTACAACATCCCTGTCCACTTCGCTGGCACCACCATCCACAACCGCCAGGCTAAGGTACGAGTCCACGGCTGGGACCCTTCAGCCGCCTCCAATATACATTTCCATGATTTCCCAACGTCTCCATTTCACAACCCTCCACCTGATCCCAACGCCACCACCAAATTTCCCTCACAAATTCTTCCATCATTCCATGCATCCATGGAACTCCGCCACCCCATTTTTGCCGTGGTTGAAACTATCTCAAAAAAAGCCAGAAAAGTAATTATAATTTATGATTACTTAATGGCTTATGTTGTTCAAGACATGCATTCTTTACCAAATGCTGAATCCTATTGTTTTCAGAGTATATCAGCTTTTTCTTTATACTCATTTTATTGGGAAGTTATGGGAAAACCTGAAGTGAAAAATGAAGCAGAAATTCTTAAAGAAGTTACTTCCATGGAAGGGTGCTTTGTCCCAGAATTATCAGAATTTTCGAAGTTGCAGCATGAGGCAAAGAAATTCCATTCTGGGGACTTGTACAATACAAACAGGACAATAGAAGGTTTTGTTGGATATTCAACTCAAATTCAAATGATTATTTTTATTATTATTATTATTATTATCTTTTTCTGTGTGTGATGATGAATTTCTTAACAGGTTTCTACCTTGATTTACTTGCAAAAGAGAAGGCTTCAGGAACGGAAAAAATCTGGGCCATTGGCCCATTCAATCCTGTGGTGATTCCAGAAAGGAAAAATTCCAACACCCGCAGTCATGAATGCTTACAATGGCTTGACAAACAAGCTTCAAATACTGTGATATTTATTTCCTTTGGCTCAACATCTTCATTATCTGATGAACAAATCAAAGAGTTGGCATTAGGGTTGGAAAACAGTGGAAAAAAATTCATATGGGTACTGAGAGATGCAGATAAAGGAAATGTCTTTGAAGGAGACGTTAGGAGAGCTCTATTACCACAGGGGTACTGATACACAACCTCAGTTATTAAAGAGAGAACATATTATTTACTTTTAAACTTAATCATCGACACCTTCTTTCCTGCGCAGACTCGTTTCATTTTTCATCAAATGCTTGCCACATGCACAATTTTCATAAATAGGTGGCGGAGAGCTTTTACTCATCATTATTGCTTCCTTTGATACCATGATGACGAGTGCACCATTTATATATTATCTTTGACAGGTATGAAAAGAGAGTGAAAGAAAGAGGAATTATTTTAAGAGACTGGGCACCCCAGTTGGAAATTTTGGGGCACCCTTCGACGGGTGGTTTCATGAGTCATTGTGGATGGAATTCATGCATAGAGAGCATAACCATGGGAGTGCCAGTAGCAGCTTGGCCGATGCACTCAGACCAGCCCAGAAACGCCGTACTGTTAACAAAAGTACTAAAACTCAGCCTTGAAGTACGTGATTGGGCCTGTCGAGGTGAGGTCGTGTCTGCGATCACAGTCGAAAATGCTGTAAGAAGATTGATGGATTCAGAAGAAGGGGAAGAGATTAGACAAAGAGCAGCAGCATTTGGAGATGCTGTCAAGAGGTCAGTAATGGAAGGTGGAGCTACTCGAATGGAAATGGATTCCTTTATTGCTCATATCACTAGATAATAATGAATTACATTGTTCATCATATTTCCAATATTAAAACCCTCCACCTTTGTAACATATTCTATAATGAACTAAACGAGCCTGGATATGATAACCAGGGTCGTAGTCAAGAATATTGTCCAATGAGGATAGAATTTAATAAAGGTCGGACTTTGTGTTTTCGACCATAGATTTAATGATGGTAAAAATATAAAATAGTATTATGACAACACTAAAAAATGATATAATTTATAAATAATACTTGTTCTTCGCGAGTTTTCATACTTCAATATCATTGTACAATTACTTCATTATCAGTATTCAAAAATATATCTTTCTCTACATAAACAATCATTTTATTATTCATCCATTGATCACTCATTCAATTGCACAAAATATAATAATATGTATGTTTAATTAATGAATAAAACCAATTATAAATTTTCACATTCAACTAAATTTAGTCTCTCTAGTCTTATCTCATCTATAATTTATCGTGCCATAATATCGACATTGGGCAATATTTCAAGTAACAGTATCAGTTAAGTCAAATTGTAAAAATTCGAATAGTTTGAATTTTCTATAACTATTAGCATTTCGCAAACTACAGAACAAAAGATAATGATTTTAGGTTATTTGAGTTCATGTGAAGAATTCTCATTTAAAATGCATTAATTAGGTGCTTTAATACAGAAAATTATTATTATTATTATTTTTTTTTTTAAAGAAAAAAATTGTTTTAGGGGAAATTGCTTTACCATATAAAACCAGTTCTCTCTCTAAATCCAAATCAATGGTACAAACGAAAATAAGTAAGTCAATCAGCCACGAAGGCCCCAAATTATGGGGCAATAGCTCAAAAAGATGGGGGGGGGGGGGGGGGGGGGGGGGGGGGGGGAGAGAGAGAGAAAGGGGGGGGGGGGGGGGGGGGGAGAGAGAGGAGAATGCACTTAGCAAGCTTAATGATCGCCAGAGATTCTAATGAAAACCACTCTTCAGGTGATTTTATTTGATATCGTGAAATGATGGCAAGGCTGTTGATCTCAAAGGATTGTAAAGAATGAGATTTAATGACGATGTAAAGTAATAAAGATCACAACAAGAAACAATATTAAAAGTAATAAAATAAACAAAGAGAATTTATCGCATAGGAACGATGTATTATAAACTGACAATATGGAGATAAATTACAGATATAGCAATAATGCTTAAATAAAACTGATAGAGAAACTTTGTATATATAGGCTAAGTTTCAAACTCTAGAAGAGTTCTTAAAGGCAAGAAAATATATTACAATTAGAAAACCCAATTTAAACGGAATTTTGTTTCCTTGTTGTTGAATGCAATTAGACTCCTTTCCAACACCAACAACATGCGATTCAAGACACCTATTTGAGTCACAACTCTAATAATCTCCACCTTGACTCAAATTTCGATGCAATGAGCGGAGCTTCACAAAATTTCTCCACCTGAGAAATAAACCTGTTTGCATCAAAATGAAATGGCAAATCTCCTCAACCCAGTAACTAAAACTCTCCATATAAATCATCATCCTCTTCACGGAGTCCATAAGCGACACCTGAACCCTACTCTCGGGTTCCCAAAATTCCACCAAGAAATTAATGTTTACCAAAGAGGGTCGAAGCACGTCCTATAACAGAAACCATATAAAATGCCTAAACAAAAGGCCCCTTGCTAGAACTGTCGCCTTTAACGTTCCCAAAAGCATTACAGATATCACTGACACCACGATACCACGCTCAATGGATCCAACCCTAGCAACCAAACACAGTGCAACCGCTGAAATTGGTGGGAAAGCAAAATTATCAACGCTCCCTCGAGCAATGTTCTGAACCGACCTAGAGCCCTCACAAGAGGTATTATACCAAACTGAATATCTACCACGGTACTGAACTTGTCCATATGTCTCTTAACTGGTTCTGGGCTCCCCTGCAAGATGTACAACTAAGACATTCTCCGTCCCTCTAGTACAACATGAATACCTTTTCGGACCTTCAAGACTCTACATCCACCAGAGAATTTATACACTTTTGCATTCAGAGTACTAAGCGAGATGAGATTTCTTTTCAGGTTTGGAACATGTCTAACTTGATCAATTGTTCTGACTGTCCCATCCCGCAAACTAAATTTGACTTGACCGATCCCAGCAACACGGCTAGACTGGTTGTTTCCCATTACAACTCTATCTTGCTAAACAACCTCATATGTCTGAAAGAAATTTTGATTGAAACGCATTTGATGCGACCATGCCGAACCAAGAATCCACTCCTCGTCAAACCTAGATTCCACGTCAGATACCACGGTCAACATCACATCTTCTTTGTCTAAAAAATCCTCAACTACTTTTGTTTCGTCGAACTCAAAGATTGCGCTCCATGATTTGCAGCTAAATCACATTTAGCCTGCAACTTATCGCAATCCTTCCGAATATGTCCCTTACGTCTGCAGTAGAAGCAAAAAAAATTGCTATTATTCTTCAATCTGTCCCTCCGTCGACCCCCATGAGATACAAGAGCTTCATCATCCCTCAATTTAGTTCCAACCAAATGCTTCATCTTGTCATTTGATTGCAAAGCATCATAGACGTCGTCTATAGTCAAAGTATCTCGACTGTACAATATGGTGTCCCGAAATGACGCATAAGAGCCAGACAGCGAATGTAATAGGATTAAGGCCAGATCTTCTTTATCGTACTTAACATTCAATGTCTTTAGATCTGCAATTATTTTCTTGAACATCTCAATATGGCCCTTCAGTGACCCTCCTTCCGCAATGCGATGAGAATATAGTTTCTACTTTAGAGCTAGTTTACTCGTGAGATTTTTAGTCACGCATAACTGCTTCAATTTCAACCACAAAGCAGCCGCTATTTTCTCCTTCAAGACATCCTACCAAATATTTTTAGATAAATGAAGATGGATGTTTCTCTTTCATTGTCTAATTAGCTGGCATCTTATCAAAATCTAGTAGCGTACAGTCCAAATTCAACTACGTCAAAATAACCCTCATCTTTACTTACCACAAACTTGTATTGCAATCTAGTAGCGGAATGTCATACCTTCATATTTGAAAAAATCTCAACCACTCCACAGAAGAAGAACCAGGCTCTGATACCACTTGTTGATCCCAAAAGGTTATAAAGAATGAGATTGAATGACGATATGAAGTAATAAAGATCATAACAAGAAAACAAGATTAATAGTAAAGAAATAAGCAAAGAGAATTTATCTCAGATGAACGCTGTATTATAAACTGACAATATAGAGGAAAATTATAGACATAACAATAATGCTTATACAAAACTGGCAAAGGAGTCTTCTATTTATAAACTACATTTCAAACTCTAAAAGATTCCTAAAAGGCAAGAAAATATATTATAATTAGAAGACACAATTCCAACAGGATTTTATTTCCTTGTCGTTGAATGCTGTTAAACTCCTTTCCAACACCAATAACACGCGATTCAAGACTCCTATTTGAGTCATAACTCTAACAAAGACAACTATCAAGGGATCTCCATAACCAACAACTTCTATAAATCAAGCACATTTAAGCAATAAGCAGATGCATTCACTCAACTTAAAAGCCCACACAAATAAGCAATAAGCAGATAATTCATGCAAGCAGTTGCTTTCCCTTTAGTATTTTAATAGACTATATCAAGGTGAAAGATGGAAATTATCCTATGACACATTGATAAAAGATTTAATCCTTCAGCACAACTATTGACATAATAGGGCTGGGCAACCAATCCCGAAGCGGCCGGCACAAATAAAGATTGTAATTGTAGCAAGCAGGGAAGAGGGGCGTGATCCAATTAGAAAGTTCATAAGATAAGATGTTATTTAAGAATGTTAATACTTGGGGTCCCATTTTAAAATACCAACATTATTAAGAGGAGTAGCCTAATTCTTTTTAAATTGGTCTATGTTTTCATTTTTGTTCGATGTGAGACTTTGTTTCTTAACATGTCCCTTCAAGATGGTGGCTCGTTTGAACAGATCAATCTTGAAATTCGTATGCTCGTTTATTGAGTTTTAATTGGATTGAATTACTTGTTGAAATTTAATAGACCCTGATACCATATTAATACTTGATGTTCCATCTTAAAAGATCAACTTTGTTCAAAGAAGTATTCCAATTTTTTTAAGTTGGGCCTATATTTTCATCTTTATTCGATGTGGGACTTTATCCCCTAACATAGAATAAATCAGAGAACTTAAGAAGAAGACCAATATTCAATTAAAAAAAAAGAAATGTAAAAGGATTGGATCTGGGCTCAAAGTTCAGTAGGTGGCTCCGCCCCTCATGACTGATAAATTTTGTCATGTATTTTTCTTTCTTGATCTTTGTTATGTCTTGTCTAGCTAGTTAGTTCCGGTGTATTAAATATTTCTAAAGTCACTATACATTAAGCTTTCTAAATTATAAATCTTATACTAAATTTTTGACCTAAATCTTCACGACGTCTCAAATTTGTGATAAGTTGGCCCCTAATTGAAATAGTGCGCAATCTGGAATTCTCTTTTGCTATCGTTTGTTAGGAAACTTATTCGCAAAAATCACAATTTTTTCAGTGTCAATAATTTATATGATTTTTCAAAATATTTGACTCTATAGTTTTGATAATTGATAATGGAATTTATATACTCATTATAGCATATCCAAGAAACTCTTTAAACATGAGATACTCTTTATTTTAAAGAGTCAACTTTTAAAATCATGCTCTGAGCGATTCTTGAAATTAGCATTTAAATTTAGACTCACTCACTATAATTAAATGCATTCAAAATGTTTAAATTTTCAATGTAGAAAAATAATAAAATAATTTAAGAAAAATTAATTAAAATAAAAGATAAAGAAAAATAATAAATATTTTTTGGGAGTAGTAAAATTAAATATTAATTATAAAGAACTTATTAGAATAATTCAAAATTTCAATTCTCTAACTTTATAGATTCTCTTCAAATGATAGAATATGCTCTTTAAAATAGAAAATT